CCCGCGCCGTCAGGCGAGTACTTAACGTCTTGTCCGCTTTTAATGGACACTTCCCGTAACGGCAATTCGAGCCAGCACTGTTATTTCTGACCAGACTGGCAGCGGGCTTAGGTTACCGAATCTTACCGATTCCCCGGGAGACCTCGCTCACGCCCCGTCCCCCGTCTCGGGGGTGGAGCCTCCCGAGGGCAGGCCGGGACCCCGCGGGTGGGAGCTCTTGCTCAGCACTGCCTCTGGGCAAGTGGCGAGAAATCGTCTCTCTTCCTGGCCTTCGTGAGAGAAAAGCAATCACAAATACCGGGGCCTGCGGGGGGCGATTAAAGTGAGGACTGAAGCAGAGGATTTCCACAGTTTGGCCTCTGAGCCACTTGGAGACCGCGAAACCTCCGCGTGGGGCCTGCAAAGGCAGGCTTGTATTGCGACCCAGGGTTGTCTCAGATCAGCAGTAAAATCGAGCTCCAGCATGAATCAACTACTGCTACCAAGTTCTTCTTATCATCGCATTTCATACAAGGTGTATCACATTACAGCCATGGCATGTATGGGATCTACGGGTGAAGCCTCCAGGCTGCTGCCGCACAGTCACCCTCTTGCTCATCGCTGTAACCGTGCTGACTGCTGGAGGTAGAAGCAGATCTAACACCTGTGTAATCTGCTGGAGGTGGATGCGGATCTATCTGTGTAATTCCCTTTCCTAAAGCTTTCCAGGCACTCATGGATTGCTCGCTTGAGCTTCTCTAGAACATGGAAATAACGCAGTTGTCCACCTAAACTGCCAAAATCTAACACTGCTATCCTGCTCTTTTGGTAAGTAGGAAACTGAGTAACAACTCACGTTTGTTTAGTGGCCCTTGGCACCCTTAAGGGTCCATGTTGCAGGTGTTTATGTGAGCAATGACTGCAATGAACTTGGCCTCCACAGTAGAAATACCCCGTACAAGAAGCAACAGTTTGGATGGAAATGTGGTTTATTCAAGAGCCCCAGAGTGGGACCACACGGGCCCGTCAGCTGTGAGACGTAAGGAAGGTGAAGAGTCTGGGTTCTCCAGCGGGTGGTCCAAGCACAAAGGAATTAGGTAAAACCAGCCAGGCCTCTCCAGAGTTTGAAGCCAGGTCTGATACATCGGGTAGGGTAAGAAGGGCTGCTGGTTCCTGTGCCTACTGGTGCTCCCCCCACGGCTGGTGCGCCATAGTGACAGTTCCAGCTATGAGCCAAGTGTAGTTCACTGCAAGGCCCATGGTTTCAGGGCAAGAGTTGAAGGCCAGGACCTGCCAAACTAACTGCTGGTATTTGGGCACTGCAGCCTCACCTTATTAAAAAGCATGGGTTTGGTCAGCATACTGTGATTTTTCTGTAACAGCTCATGTGCAAGATAACATCAGTAAAGGCCTGCTACAGCATCTAGTGGTGTAATATCACCATGACATAAAGAACCAGAAGTCTCCAGAAAAACAGACACATTTTTAGACACAAAATGACACATGCAGCACCCAGCATCAGCCGCAGGGTCAAGGTCTTCCCTTACTATCATTAATAGGAAGCACATTACATTGCATCATAGCCCCTGGGATTTTTTGGTGAAGTCAGAGGGTGAATGTTCAATGAAAGAATAGACTTTAGGTCATAATCTGGATTCCCCAACTTAGATGAGATGCCCCACTGATGCCAGCAGGGAGGTTTGTTTGAACAGCGAGGAGGGAAACAACCCACGGGCACTTGCCTAGGTTGAAGAAAGGAGTACGTGTGCATACGTTTAAAGCTATTCAACAGCCCAGGGGAGAACACCAGCAAGCACCTCCATAACAGTACACTACTCTTGGACTTGCAGGTGGAGAAGATAAAAACAATCCCATTGTGTAACTTTTTTAAAACAAGTGCACCTCCTTGCACAAGGGTCCCATCTTGGTGTTGGCAGACAGCTCCCTTCACTTTATCCTGTATTTTCACACATAAGATTTTTATTTTATGCTGCAAACGTCATTGTCTAAGCGGCATTATTCAGCCTGGCATGGTCTCAGGCTCAGCCCCTGTCCATTTTAGAGTGCACTGTGCTGCAGAAGCTGCCGGTGGTGTAATGCTGAGTGCTGGCCAGCACTGTGAGAGCAAGCCACAGCTCCTCTCCTGCTGGTGACTTACCCTTTTCACAAGCTAAATCCCTTGGATGTTTGGTAACTGAGAAATACTGCGAGACTTGCCCTCATCTTTATTCTTCTTTGAAGTTTTTTGTTCATATTCAGAACATTATTGAAAGGAAATTAAAATCAGAAAAGGGGGAAGAGAAAGCGAGGGGACAAGGAAGGCAGAAACTGTCCAAATCAGCTAGGCTTGAAATTGCATATAACAGATTTGCCAGTGATATTAAAAATGACAATTATTTATACTACATCAGAAGTACAAGAGTGTTTCTGCATCAGCACAGAGCCTTCTGAGGAGTGGCTGCAAATGCAATCTCAGTCTTGAGGGAATGAGCATAGGACAGCACAAATTTCCATTAAGGAGTGCACTGACACATTTAAATTGCAGTGCTGTTCTGAAAAGGAACAAACAAAATCAAAACTAAGCTCTCAGTAAACGTAAGCTCACAAGATTTGTGAGGATTGTTGGAACTGGTCACAAGTTGCCACTGGAAGAGTTTTATGCCAGTGGGAGGAGAAAGCTGGTTTGACAGAAGTGAGTATTTTGGAGGAGCAAGCTAATTCTGTCACAGCTTGCAGCGGGATACAAGCAGGCAGTGCAGACAGGCAGAGCAGGACAGGCAAGTAGGGCAGGGTAGGCAGGCAGGGCAGGGCAGGGCAGGCCAGACAAGGCAAGAGGGCAGGTAGGGCAGGTCAGGCTAGGCAGGCAGGACAGGCGGGTGGGGGGGCAGGGTAGGGCAGGCATGACAGGCAGGGAAATCCTCTGGATCCCCTGACTCCTTTTTGGCAATGCACTCAACTGCCTGCCCATCTCCAACCATCCCGGCTTGCCTTACTTGCTCACTTTTTTCAAACAGTTCTGCTAAACCAGAGGTTTCTGAGAATGCCTTTGTTCTGTGAGAACAGTCTTGAAAGAATGGTGGGAAGCTAGCTATGCAACAAAGCCAGCTGAACTGAAAAGACTGCAGTTGTCTATTTTTACTCTCATTAATTTAAAAAATACCATTTTTTTACTCAGTGCAGTTATTTTCCTTGCCTCAGCATTAAGTTATTCAGTGATATCTCCTATGTGCTAGACTGACCTTACACTTGTCCACTGTCATGGCCCTCCCAGAACCAGCTTGGCCTGCTCTCCTGGTGGTATCACACCTCACATGCTGTGTCGCAGTTTCCTGGGGCCTCTTTTTACATACATTGCAAATTGTTTGTAACAGTGAAGATAATCATCTGCTTAGCTAATGTTATGGTGCATAACCTGCTGTATTTACTGCACATCAGATTAGGAATCTTCCTAAAAGCTCTGGTACAACCTCACAAGACAGCTCTGTGGTTGGGGAAGTACTTTGGCCTGTGCAATGCATGAGGGCTGGGGTTAAATCAGAACAGATTTTCATAAAGGTCTCTTTTGATCTCTCAGCAGATTAGAGAATGGCTTTCATTAGACATGTTCAAGAACAGGTTAGACCACCATCTGCCACTGATGCTATCAACATTGCTGAACTTGCCTCAGTGTAGATGATCTCTTCCAGGCCTGTATTTCTATGGCAACTTAGGTGTTTTCATAGCTTTCTGAAGAATGGTTCAATTATTGGTTTGAACTCCAAGACACAAAGACATACGTGTTGTCTGATTTCACAGATGAGCTATGTGCCCAGAGCTACAGCAAGTATGTGGCAAGTCTGCGAAGTCAGGGATTCACTGATGAAAGTCTGTTCTATTTTTCACTGAAAGCGTTACGGTTTATTACTTTACCTGGACACCTCCCTACTCCTGCACTCAATAGTTTGCACACCAAGTTGCCTCAGCCTGCACTCAGAAGTGTGGGACTTTTGCTGGGGACTTGCGAGGAAGCCAGCCCTACAGGTCTGTATTACGTCATATAGAAGAAAAACATTATGCCTTAAATTTATTAAGCAGTTGAAAAAAAATCTCTTTCCTGAGTGTCCTTGATGAAGATCCAGCAGAATAATATTTAAAATGTGATTATTTATATAAAACAGCAACTTTGATAGTCGTGGCCAAAGATACACAAAAGATATGAAAACTATGCAAAGGTTTTAGTTTCTTGAGGTATCTCAGGATAAACGCCTCCTTTTCAAGGCACGTCTGTGAAGTGGAGGTAGTATTCTCAGTGTGGAGATTTAATGATGTTGAACTTTGCTATGTTACATAAGGGTACTTTTCTTGTTAATCATTATGTAGGTATTACTTGCCTAGAGTTATTTGGAGCTATTCATTGGTACAACGTTCCACCTTTGCTTGGGCTATTCTACATAGGTATTGTGATAGTGACCATCAGATTACCAGCGCTCCTAAAGTAGAATCCAGCCTTTTTCCATGGCCATTTTTGAAGGCTGTTGGTCTGCTCAGATAATAGATTGCTGAGCATAGCAGTCCAATTAGTGCAAGAAAAGGGAGATGCTTGCATCTAGAATCATGCAGGATGAAGCGCTGTGGTTTCATAGGGGTTTTAATGTTGTAGAGACAAAAGAGGAGCAGGCAGATGACATTATGCAACTCCTTTTTCATTAACTGTAACACCAAGCGAAAGGTGGATACAGGCACTTAAATATTTTGGCTGAACAACGGCAAAGAACAGTGTAAAGCCTATTATCAAGACATACCTTACATCCATTGTAAAGATACAGGGCATCAACCATAAAGCACCATGCCGTGTCAAATTTTGTTTCTACAGATAAGGCCAAAAGTTAAAAAAAGCAAAAGAAGATTGCGGTATTAAGGAAATCTGTAGTTCTTGTCTCACTTCTCCCAAAGCTTGCGGTTTGTCAGCCTGCAATCCAAACTATTGCTGTGTACTGTTTTTTGACTATCCCAACCCCTCTGGACCCTGGCACCAGTTGAAATGGGCATTAAATGGCTGTATCGAGCAGGTCCTTACACCTGTTTTACCTTTCTGTCTGATGCTGGATCCCAATAGGGGATCAAAATCCACAATTAGGCTGAAATGTTCAGCTCAGGTGACCACTGCACGCAGTAGAGCATTTATTTGCAGTGGCTGTAGTGAGAGGAAAACACCTCCAGGGCTAATGTAGCCTTGCAGCCCTGTAAATAGAGTATTGTCACTGCTAGTAACAGGCCACAGGCTTTGTGCTGACTTTGTAAGGCCTCAGGACTGAGGCTTGTCAGGATTGCTTTGTCTGAATTTGCCTTAACCTGCCTCAAGGTGTCCCTTCATTTGTTTAGCTGTGAAAGCAGTTTTACTAATGACCAGGAAATTCAGGTGTAATTGTAGGATTTGAAGGCCAATGAAGAAAAACAAGATGTAAAGTTGGTAGCAAATATAAAAATGCCCCTAAGCAAGCAAAAAAAAACGGAAAAAGAAACCAACATCATCAACATCATGCTCACCGTAGTGAAGGACCTGGGATGCTGACAGCTGACAATATTTCCTCACTACCCCCACTGCAGCCACTGACCGTTAGACCCAAAGTATCAGTGCAAGTGTGAGCATAACATCAAAAAAAAGGGGTATATAGTAGGAAGTGTGCATATATCAATTTTACCTTATTGGTTTTTTTCCTGTAGTAGTATAGTAGTATTCTTTTCTCTCTTCTTGTCTCTCCTCTCTTGTAATTAGATCTAGACTAATATTAATTCATATATTAGACTGTTAAAATTTGTTACACTAACAATAAATTTCTGACTTTACATACAAGGTGTGTCTCCTTTTTGCTTGTAACAAGCTTTTGAGTGTAATACTAGTTCAACTAGAAGTGACCAGTCAGACAGGACAGTGGTGCAGAAGTGATATGCTGGCAATGGCACTAGCAGGTGGGACCCCAGCAATGTGTCCAAGTGGTGCTGCCACTCTGAAAACTCACCTCCTCCATAGCAAGTGCTGAGCAGCAAACTGGCTTTGTGTCAGTGGGTTAACAACCCAGAACACCTGTAACAGGGCACAATCCTGTGGATCTTGCAGATCTGATGAAATAATCCTGTTGACATCCTTGGTCATGCACCCTCCTCATGTTCCTGTTTTCTGACCAGGCCTTACAGGTACTTGTACTCTTTTAATTTGTATTTAGAAGGACAGATATACATTTTGCCAAAGACAATAGTCAAGCCCAGAACCTAGGAAAGCATCCAAAGAAGCAGTATGGAGAAATCATAGTTGGAAGGTTTCAATGGCTACTTTAATTGATTACTAAATAATATGGAAAATGGACTTTCTTGGTTCTCAGGTATCGAAATCCAGCGTCTAAAATGGAAAGAGTGACTCTGCAATAGGAGAGGCTTGCAAAAGCAAAGTCAAGCTAGTCCCAGAATGATGCAATGTAATAAGGGGTAACTCATGGAATCAGCTCGTATAGTTAAGAACCTGCCTATGTGAATATTACAATTAGTCACTGTGTTTAAAACATTTGCCTTGAGGGAGAGGGAAATATCTGTATTGCAAGATACTGTAAGGTGAACAAACTTAAATTACCTCAGTGTAATGTCTCTGCATAGACATGGCCTTAGAGTACATACTCTTTAGGCTTGACCTGGTTCAGTATAGGTCAAGCACATAATAAAAAATGGTAAGTGGAATTCACAGTGCCACTGCTGTGGAGTCACCACATACTTAGCAGCAGGAGGGATGCATCTTCCTGAAAAGTAGTATTAAACATGCCTCTTCAGAAACGCAAATTCTGTGCTTGCATCCTTTCAGCCAGTATTCAAGAAAGCATGCAGGCAGACAGGCAAATGTGTTGATCGTAATTCTGTTTAGTGTGCTCCAAATCTACTATTGGTCTTCTATGCACATACAGAGCCATATTTAATCTTATTAAAATGGCTGTATGTCTAAAATAACTCTGCCAAAGTCAGTGTAGTTACTTCACGTTTAATGGCAGAGAGGTTATCATTTCAGTTCATGCTATGCAAGAGCACGGAACACATCCAAGCCTTATAAAGTCATCATTGTGTAGAGAACTTAATGGAAAATTACTGGCAAATGTTAAAAAAGAAACTTTGCTTAGAAAATGTTCAGCCCATGCACTGCATGAGAAGAAACAGCTAAGTGAAGTGTTTTGATACATTATAGTGAAAAATTTGTTACACTGAATTCATTTCACATCTTTTTCATGTGTGTGTTTATAAATATTTTTACACAAAGGAAGTAAATAAAAACAAAGGTAAAACATTTTTGTTTGAAATCTACAGCTATCTGATAAATTTGTAATGTAAATGCTAAAAAAAGTAACTGGTCAAACAGAGCATGATTTAACACACATTTTATAAAGACAATGTAACAAGAGGTATGCAACACACTGTATTTCATTCCACAATGCATACTGCTTGTTTAGCAAAGTGCTGAAAAGCTGCATCCCTTTATGTTTGTTAATGAATCAGTTTCTGGTGAGTGTGCAGGCAAACAATAAAAAGGCATTGGCAAATTGGAGGCTATTTTAACCACACATACAAAATGGCTATGTAGTTGCATAGAACAGTAACACAGAAGTAAACATGGAAGTGAAACAATTTCAAATGTCATTCTGTTTTTACAAAATGTCAAGTTCCCTAAAGTTGAATAAAAGAGAAGCCCAAATGAAAAGCAAAATGTCAACACCGTTCTGACAACAGTGAAAGCAGTAAACCTGCTAATAAGACCAAGCTAGCAAAAATCCATAGTAAATGACGACTGAACTTTCAGAAATGTCTATGCAGTTACCATGATCATTCAGTATGGTAACAGTACTTCAAGGTGTTAAGTATGGATGGAGTATGAAAATATAATACAAACAATAAAAAGCTGATGCCATCAATGCATTTGTAGAGTCTTCCATCAATCTCTGCATTTCAAAATGCTGTAAGCAGCATTATCAAGGGGGATACTGAGACCTACATACTGTGGAGCTGATGGTGGGGAAAAAAAGAAATTCTGTCTTTTCAAAATAGTATATGAATAAGTCCTGATGGTTAATGAGTTAAGCATAAACTTTTGACCAGTATTCTGTGAACAAGTAACGTGCCTTTAACTCATTTTCTTTCTTGTCTGTTCAATGGTATGCATCCCCTGCAAAGAGAGGTGCTGAATATTTGGGAAAACAAAATTCCTACAAGGTAACAGAAAAGAATGAGGCAAATAACATCATACTATTACGAAGAAAACTATCCAAACCTAGTACTTAGAATGCCACTGTAGACACAAGTGTGCTGGGAAACTGTAACTATGAATGTGGATTTCCAGTCTGAGTCACTGACAGATAGAAAACATGTTCGCTGTAGAGACTTTTTTCCCTTTGACATTTGTTTTTGAAATTTACTCAAGAAAATGTATGGAATTTCTATTCTCATCTGGAAAATTTATTTTTTGTTTAGACTGACTCCTCGAAACTGTTCCTTGTTCCTCATGTATCGTCATAATGAAATTGCAAAATGAAAGATGAATTTGTCACAGTAGATTTGCTTCAAACACAGATTGGCTACATTTTGATCTCACCTGATCAGAACACCTTTCCTGTTTTCTTTTGTTTTCCCTTGCAGGCATTTAAAAAAAAGCCAGACTCTTACTCTACGTGAACCTCTATTGTAATCCTCATTTACACAAACACTAATGCAGATGTTGGATTCATATTATTAAAATCTCTGTATACTTCATATACTTAAAATCTCCCTAAACATTTTGAAACAATGATCGCTGTTTTTCAACAGTTTAAGGCTGTCAGCATGCTTTGAGGTGGGGACAGATATGATCCTGAAAGCAAGGTTATGTCACTAAAGTTCAAGGACAAGTCAAGAATGTCTACACATGGCTTTCTGGGTCAGGTTTCTCCAAACACAACTGTACTTTGCCACTCAGACCTACTTTAGTGGATGAAAACTGCTATGTTGTGCCTTTCTGAAAGAGGAGCTAAGAAGCATGCATGAAATCAGAAGTGAAAGAGGGGACTACATAATTTTTCCTTGCCTTCAACAATTTTGTTTTGATCTGAAAAACACAATGGCCATGAAGAAACCAGCTGCATAAGTAAGGATAAAAACTAAGGCTGGTTAAAAATTTGTTCAGTTTAAGAAGTCTTCTGATAAAAAAAAGAAAAAACATTTTCTAAATTATTACATGATAATATCGTCCTTCTTTCAAGAGCCTTTATAAAAAGCTTGTCAGTAAATGAGCTTATGAGGGAGGTCGAAATGGAACATAGAAAGATCTATACTGTTGGCATCTGTGGACGGTGCCTACTTTTTATCTGCCACTGAGAGAAGATCTCCCTTTCACCTGACCCAGCAAGCATTTATTTAAGAACAGAACATGTATCTATTAAGTTTAAAATGAAAAGAAACAAATATATGCAAAATTCTTCTTTAGAAATTAATTTAAAAATCCATAATTTGTTCAATTAGTCATGCTGCTTTCTTGACTGTTGATAAAACAGGGGCCATAAGCCACTTCAACATTCGGTTTCTGTGGATGCATTTTCTTGCCTAGCTTTCTGTTCTTCTGTTGCACTGCCAAATGCTACCACCAAATTAGTTACACTGCTGGCATGTCCTGGTCTATTTAATTTGTCCTTTACAGACTTGGCTTTCCAAGAATGGCTGTGCAAACTCTTTGACCGTAGTGATGGGAACCCAGAAGTCCTTTCTGGCTTTACTGATAGTAAATTCTCTTTCTCAGCCTTGACAGTGGCAGGCATAGAGGTGTAAGAGGCTCTCACACCTGCTTCACCAACATCACTGTCATCATCTGTGTCCATCTGTAACTGTTTCTGCTCTGCTTGCCTTTCTGCTTCAGAGATAAAACCAGGGTATTCTGGGGGACGTTCTTGAGAAAGTTGCTGCTCAACTTCGTATTTCCACTCTGTGGCCCATTGTTCAATTGTAGAAGGGCACACCTGATCGATGACGGTACTATACTCTGTGGTCCAGTTGTTAACTCCTCCAACCAGCTTCCCACCCTGTGCAAATATAAAGCTCCTTGACTTCATCATAGTGGTTTGACAAGCACTGAATGTTTCAGCAGGAAAATAGCGCATTGCTTTACATTTGTCCAAGGGATAAGAGACGGTTGCTTCTAACTTGGTACGTTCTACTTTTAACTGAGTGTTCTGAAAATCTGATCTTGGTACTGACTGTCTGTTTGTAACAGCATCCATCTGGTTTATACTTTGAGGAACCATTCCATCGCTCTTGAAAATCCCCTGCTTTTCATCCCCAAAACCACCTGGACGAGAATGGGGTCTGGAAACATTCTGTGCAACTTCTAATGTAGATTTACCATAATCTGCTGTGGTGACTGCATTAGCACTAGAGGTGTAATTGAGACTGGAGTGGTGTTCTGGAACCAGCATCCTTGGGTCTGCTCCGTCTTCTTTGGTACTAACAGAATGGGCTTTTTTACGCAATCCCATGGCTGGTGACATAGGAGTGGTACTGTCATCATATGTTAACTCATCGCCACCGACATGGTATCTGTACATGCTGTAGCCATCAGAGCTGTTAACACTGCTTTGCCTTAGGAGATATGCAGCATCACACTCGGACGAAGCCCTTGAACGTGTATATGTCAGCTCAGATTTGTCAATACCTGCCAGCTTCTCAAGAGCATTCACCATCCGACCAGATAGTTCTTCCAATTGAGAGAGTCGAAGGTCGACTGTTTGAAGAGAAGCTTTCATAAAATGTTCTCTTTCATTCACTTCTTCTAGCCTCATAGACATATTTTCAACTCTGTTGGGTATAAAAGAGGAAGCATAGAACAGAAGCTGTGGAATGGTGCAATAACCTGTTATAGGCACCCAGCTACCGATTTCTTCGTAAGGCAGAATTTTGTGCTATGTATCATGCATCATTCTTTTTTTCTATTACATCAAAAGCATGGGCATTTTCTTGTTATCTATGCTTTCCATACACCATATTAGAGGGCTATTTGAACTTTGCCCTTATTTACATGCATGGGGAGTACAAGAGTTGCAGCCCTTAGGGACAGCCTAAGGGACACACATTTCTGAGTGTGCCACCCACTTCACATTC